ATTCTTCCCACGCTAGCCCCGTTTGCAAGTGTAACGTAATGCACCTCCTCCTCGTTTCCCTGACCCCTTGTGTACTGACGCTGCTGGGGGGGGGATGAAAAGTTCAACTGCCCCATGTGACTTATTGAAACTTTGGGGTTGTCGAGGCGACAACGAGCCCGGCTCGCTCTTGTCCTGCCACGGTGAATACCGGCCTTTCAAAACCCCGGCTTTTTTCCTTTTGCTGCTCTGAAAGGGAAAGGGGGATGTTGGATGTTTTTTGGCTTTGGCAAATATCTGTGGGTTTGGCCATACAGCCGTTGTCTGTTTAAACTCTCCTCGAACTCCTTGGCCGGGCGTCAGCTCCTGTGGTTTGCTGTCCAAACTGGAGTCCCATTCCCAAAGTGCTGAATCACTAGTGAGGTTTATTTGTTCAGTGAAATATCAATACACAAAAAAGGCTGGACATTGCCCCGTGCCTCCAGAGCCTCTGTTAAGGAAAGTGTCATTGCTCCTTCCTGGCACTTGGCTGCTGCGTTGCTATTAAGCAATTATTGATCTATTCGGCGCTGGGTTTTCCAGGAGCATGAATAATATCCTCTTTGTAAAGGGATGTGGGACCTGGACTCTTTCAACACAGGTTGCAATCAGTCATGTGTTGGCATTGTCTTTGCCATATCTCTGTGTTTGTGCTACTGCGGTTGCTTCATTTCAGTGGGGAAAATTTCCATGCTTGCGACTCAGAAACCGTCTGCAGCTCACAGGCAGTGGAGAAGAGGCTCTGTGCTGGGACGCAGCAGGGAGATCTGACCACAGTTCCCAGCTCTTTCTCTGTTGGCCTCGGGCTTGTCCTTGTTCATCTCTATTGTCCTCATGGAGCCATATACACAAAGTATATGTATATGTATATACTGCAAAGTGAGCGTGAAATGAACCTGTTCTGATCCGGTGGCACTTCACACCCACACTGTTCAGGCCCGCAAGGCAGGGCAACAGAAAATCAGGCTCCTTGTGTGTCGGTTCCCCAAGTGTAACATGGGAAGGTTACACCTTCCCCGCCTCGCAGGGATGCTGCACTGACACATTCAGTGATGACTGTAAGAGGCTCAGATACTAGGAAAGCTAGGATCTAGATCTGTGGTCCCCAAGCTGTGGTGTGCGCCCCCCTAGAGGGACATGAAGAAATGTCTGGGGGGGGGGTGTTACCCAGCCCTGCTCTGCCCACAGCTCTGCTCCGGCCACAGCTCTGGCCGCAGCTCCACTCCCAGCCCGGGGGCGGGGGGCCAGACACATTCCGTTACTGGGGGAAGTGGGGCGCGAGAGGAGAAGTTTGGGTACCACTGATCTAGATAGAGAGGTCTGTAGCAATGCCGGCGTCTGTGCTCTGGGAACAAGGGAAGAGCTTCAGCCTTACAGTCCTTCATGCAGGTGGATGTTCTGCTCTCATGTTTAATGCCAAGAGTGTGCTCGGTGCTATACAATACACACAAATAACGACTGTCCCTGCCACAAAGAGCTTACAGCCTGAAAGGCAGATGGGATGCATGGGATACCCAGAGTCTGGAGATCATTTAGGTGGGGTTTACTCTCCCAACCTATTCTGTGGTGATGGACACCAATGGCAGAAGCTGGTTGGCTGCATTGTTTATTAGCTTGCTTCTTCTCGACAGCAGGGAAGAAGCAGGTTTTGTGGAGAGACTGCATGTAAAGAAGGTTGTGGTGCTTTGTTGAACTGGGATTGGGGGAGTCATCCCACAGATAGGGGGCAGTGTGGGGAAAACACACAGAGATGGGCACCAGAGAAGAAGATAAATGGAGCATTGACATTGGCATCAGGGATGCAGTAGAGGGGTAGATTGGGTGAGACGGAAGCTGAGGTCCTGAAACAGAGCCTTGAAGGCCTTTAAATTGATTGTATGGGGCAAGCAGAGGAATGCGAGGGGGGCAGGGGGATTTCACATGGTCAGACCCACGGGTCGGGAAGAACATTGTGGCAGCCGTCAATAGACCGAAGGGAGGTGATGTGGGTCTCTAGGGAAGCCAGACAGGAGAGGAAAAGCAGTGATGGCCTGGACAAGCATTTCCACCTGGACAGAGGAAGGATCGACTCTTGGAAGAAGAAGCATCAGGATTGGACGTGGCCTGGATGTATGGGGAGCGGGAGGGCTCAAAGCTGACCCCACAAGTTGAGATGGGGGTCAAGGGAGAAGGAGAACAGGGAAGAGGAGAGAGTTGGAGAGATAAAAGGTCTCTGCTTTGGTCATGTGTTGAGCTCCTGTTGCTTCTCCGCCTTATGTAGCTGTACCCCACAGCTGAGGCAGCTAGCTCGGCTTCTCCTCATTCCCACTGGCTTCTACAAGCCTCCTTGCTCTCTGCCATGAAAAGAGTGAGGACGTGCAGAAGCAGCCAAAAACGAGGAAGATTCATGGATCCCAAGGCCAGAAGGAACCATTGTGATCATCTAGTGATCTCCTGTGTAACGGGCCATAGAACTTCCCCCAAAATAATGCCTAGACCAGTGGTTTTCACACTGCGGGTCGCGACCCAGTACTGGGTCACGGAATGTAAGGCACTGGGTCACGGCCGTTCTGGTCAGCACCACCGACCAGGACATTAAAAGTCCCATCGGCTGTGCTGCCTGGCTAGGGCAAGCTAGTCCCTACCTGTTCTCACACCACGCTGCATCCCGGAAGCGTCCAGCAGCAGGTCTGGCTCCTAGGCGGGGCAGCCACGGGGCTCCGCGCGCTGCTCCCGTCCCGAGCACTGGCTCCACACTTACTTTTGCGTCATTTGCAAACTTTATCAATGATGATTTTATGGTTTCTTCCTGGTCATTGATAAATGTTCAATACTAGAGGGCCAAGAACAGATCCCAGCAGGACCCCACGGGAAACACACCCGCTTGATGACTATTCCCCATTTACAGTTACATTCGGAGACCTATCAGTTAGCCAGTTTTTAGTCCACTTAATGTGTGCCAGGTTAATTTGATATAGTTCTCATTTTTTAATCAAAATGTCAGGCAGCACCAAGTCAAATGCCTTACAACAGAAGTCTAAATATATGACTTCAACACTCTGACCTTTTTCTTCCATTTGTTATATATTATTATTTTATTATTTTTTACAACTGCTTTCACTTCCCCTCTAAACCAGGTTGGTTGGGTTTTTTTTTAAACCAGCCTTCTTCCTCACTTGTGGGATTGTAGCTTTTTGGCTATCAATAAGGTGTTCTTAAATGATTGCCAAGTACCACTCAGATTTTTCTGATTAAATTCTTCCTCCCAGCTGATTTGGCTCATAACCCTGATAGTCTTTGATTCTGTGATTCTATGAATTGCTTTCATCTTTGTGAAATTGGCCCTGTTAAAGTACCAAGTACGTATATTACTGGTCTGGGCTTTATTCTGCTTGCACATTAGAAATCTGATCAAGTCATGATCAGTTGTACCTAAGCTACCATTTACTTTTAGTTTGGTGATCAGCTCCTTTGTATCTGTTAGGACAAGGTATAGTATAGAATTCCCCCTTGTTGGTTGCAACGCTTTTTGAGTTAGGAAATTGTCATCTACAATGTTTAGAAATTCCAAGGCTGTTTTAGTACTGGCAGCCTGAGACTCCCCAGCATAGGTCATTCACACTGAAGCCCCCATGATCACACAGGTTTTTCCCCCTACGTATTATAGGTAGATGTGTCAGGCAGCGGTCGTGCTGTTCCCTAGTGTGATTTGAAAGTCTCCAGCAGATACAATTAAGACCCCATTTTGTGCTTTCTCTGTTAGGACGTTGATCCGTAAGCATTCAAGATCATTTTCTTCTGAGTTATCTGTGACTCGGAAACAGGTATTGCCTGTTTGACATAGAGTGCCACTCCCCCTCCCCTTTGCCCACTTGAGCCTTCCGAAATAGATTATACCATTGAACCACGGCATCTGCCAGCTCTACACAAGCCGTCAGCCAGTCCGTGGGCTACCAGGAGAGCAAGTGTCCATGGACAGGCCGCAGGGCAGGAACCATTGCTCTTATCCTCTATAGGGTGACTTGTATAGCCTAGTCCATTTGACTACAGTAATTATCCTCCTCTGCTGGAGCCAGGTCCCTTCCAAAGGCAGGTGTGTCATTGAGACTCAGGCTAGGTCTACACTACCCACCTGAATCGGCGGGTAGAAATCGACCTCTCGGGGATCAATTTATCGCGTCCCGTCGGGACGCGACAGTCGATCCCCGAATTGACGCTCTTACTCCACCAGCGGGGGTGGGAGTAAGCGCCGTCGACGGGAAGCCGCAGAGGTCGATTTTGCCGCCGTCCCTACAGCGTAAGTCGGCTGCGATACGTCGAATTCAGCTACGCGTATCTTAAATCCCCCCCTCCCCGTAGTGAAGACCTGCCCTAATAGATGAGTCTGGCCTCATTAACCTCTCATCACTGTTCTCTGTTCACTTCAGGGGTGGATCCAATTTTAATTGTAAACAAACAAATGCCATGGGCAACCCCAGTCTTCTCTCTCTCTCTCTCTCTCTTACACACACACACACACACACACACACACACACACACACACACACACACACACACCGCTGG